TTTATTTGGTGGATTTGATTCATTCTTGTATTAAGTTAGAATGTTCGTCTAGGAAGCAGCACCTTCCATACATTACTAAATGGCTTACAATTAATAGGCTAAGGCAGATAGTCAAATAAATAGATGTGCAAAAAAGTCTGTCCCTCTTTTCACAGTCCCTGCATTCCAAGTTCTTTGAGACAGAACCTATCTTTTTGTCCATCACTTTACTCACTGATACCAGGAACTGTCAAGCTTACTGGAACTTTCAAGCAATAGAAAAAAAATAAAATAAAATGTTAATCCACAAATCCAAAAGTAGTAATTTAAAGTAGCACGTGTGGTGAGATGTGTGGCAGTGGAATATGGCTGTCCTCTCTGACAGATCTAGCAGGGACAAGGAAGAGAAAGCTGACCTGCAAAGGCCAGCTTATTTTCATCGAGAGAAGCAGCTTACATGAATCAAGGCTGTTCTTGTTTTTTTAGTACATGAACTGTAAGATGACCAAAAAAGAGGGTGGCAGGGGGGAACGGGAGATGAAAACAGCAGGGCGTTAATTTAAGGAAGAAAAGTATAAATTAAGAGACTGGAATGTTCTTAAGCCAGTGCCCTAAGCTGAGAGCAATGACTGCTTCAGCAGTCCTGCATCATTTCACCACCACCACTGTTCCTTCTCTTATTTTGTATTGTTCCCTTCTTGTAAACTCTCCCCTGTAGTTCCCTCAGGGCCTGTGCCACCTGTATCTGTATATAGAAAGCATGTAAGAAGAAAAAAATCTGTCAAAGGAAAAATGTAGCAGTTTGATAATGGATATGGAGAGCAGATAACAAAGCCAAAAACACTGAAAGGGTTAATAGCTACTCTACTTCAGCCTCCCTAAGAAAGCAGAAGAGCAACAGTAACAAGGAGAATGGAAAACAAGAGGTCAGCAGGCAAAATGAGGAAGAAATAAGAAGTAGCTCAGCAGTTCTTACAGTGCTGCTCAAGTCTGAGCAAGATTTTGCATTTCAGAGCCAACTTTTATTCATCTCTCATGCATGTTACGAACATGAAGGCTGATTTAAAACCTTTGGATAGTCTTTTTTTGCTCTGAAGTATGTAGAAATCATAGAATCATAGAATCATAG